GGGTTCAAAACAACCCAACCGCTGGGTCAAAACAACCCAATAGCTGGGTTTGTCCCTTTTTAACCCAGCGCTGGGTTATATTTAACCCAGCATTTTTTAGAGTGTACATAAACACAAATAGAAAATAAAACAGTTATCAAATAAGCATGTGTCCTATTTTAAACTCCTGAAACATTGGTGTCTCATATTTTAGAACAGTCAAGGCATTTTGGGAAAAAATCAATGTCATCAATAAAATCAATTATATCTGTATGTGTGTGTGTGTGTACTGGTTTAACTATACGTGGGAGGACCAAATGTCCTCACTTATATAGTTAAAGATCATGACAACCCACTAGTGAGGACATTTGACTGGCCGTCACTAGTTAAAGAGGCTTAATAATCAGCCAAAAGATGTTGTTAATGTAAATCTAGTGTTCTGCACATGTTTCTATAATGGATAAGTTTAGCGGTAGCGGTTGGGTTAGCTGAAAGAAAATATCATTAACCTGACAGAAAATCAATGGAAGTCTATACAATGTCCTCACTAAGATGTGTGTGAGAGAGAGAGTGTGTGTGTGTGTGTGTGTAAAAATATTCAGATGTAAGCCCTGTAATTGTTAACATTTTCATAAGTAACTGTAATTTAATTACACATTTTTTTCTCAGTATCTGTAACAGATTACAGTTACATTCTTCTTGTGCAGACTTCACTCTCTGCTAAGAATGTCATCACTACACTATATATTTAAACAGCAAATGGGTGTGTGCTGATTCTATAGATAAAAATCATACAGAGCACCTTTAAAGAAGTCCATATCAACTCAAGAACCCTATGAGGCCAAAAACAGATCTTGATAAGAATTGGATTCAGTGTCGAACTGCAGATGAACCTTTATTTTAAGAGTTTAGACTTACACAGTTTGACCTTTCTCTGGTTAAACTCTGAGTTAACTATTCTGAACTCAGAGGATGTTGATTAATACAATCAAAAGACAATAAAGGCAAAGAGAGGATTAATCAAGCGTCTGTTTAAACGTCTCACCCACCCAAAAACACACTAACCCCATCACCTCTGCCCCAGCGATAATCAGATTTACCTTCTGATCTTGTTTATGTTTATGATCCTTGACAACAGATACTTTGTATGCACTTGCAATCAGCTTTGGTTATTTGTCATTTAGCAGGTATTTTGGAGAGATTTAAAGCACAAGACCTGGGGTTAAATGTCTTATTCACGGTTATAGTAAATCCACAATGGATATCTAGATTATCCACAGTCAACATGAAATCAAAATAATTGACCATATTTACTTTCTTGATACATGTTCCTGGTCTTATTGTCAACAATTCATCGGTGCACATAAAAAAGCGACTTTCCTTAATTATTTACCTTAAGCAAATTCACAAGTGTTATGTTCAGAATATCATACTAGCATACTACTATAACTATTTTGCATGTACATTTTGTGTTTGCAAGAAATACCCGGATGATAGAATTGATCAAAATGTCATTTACCTTCCATTTCCAATCTGATGAATGAATAGTACGTGATACCGACTGCGATTTTTAAAATTTGATCACACTGTCAAGAATTCAAATGTTTTTACCACAAAATTGGATGCGAAATGCAAAACATCCTAATTTTCGACAACTGCATGACACTGAATTAAACATGCAAAGTAATGAGCTCATGTGACAACAGTGCAGCAATATACAGTACACTAGTATACCATTCTGAACATAAGTTTCTTATTTACTACCTCCAGTCACATGACAGGTTATATAAAAAAAAAAATTATAACGGCTGGGAATGAGATATTTGTTTTGTCTCTGCTTGAATGTGATGAGAAGTTAATGAGAAATAATATAAACCAAAATAATGATCATTTGAGTTAAAATCAGGGTGCAGGAAAAGCTGTCCAGATTTTAAATGGTGTAATGGTGCGGTGTGTGTTTGTGTATGTAAGAAGAAGAGCCAGATGAGTTAGGTTAGGAGAGCAGGGCTCGATGCAGAGACTGTGGCCCAGCGCGGAGCCTCTCTGCTGGGCATTATTGCTGGCTCACACCCATCTGCTGGTGGTCTGGCTCTGGTTCCTCCTCCACGTCTGCGTGATATTGATCGAATGTTTCATCGTCAATGTCTGGAAGACCCAGGAGCTGCAGGACAATTTCACAATCATTCCATACAAAATAGAATAGAATCAAACCAGAACAGAACAAAACTGAATTTTCAAAAGTAACACGCATTGACATTCCAAAGATTCCATTATAAGATTGCAAACAGATAGTTTTGGCTCTAAAACCTGATTGCATCAGTCACGTTCAAAACATTTGAAAAATGTCTGTACACATGTCACACATGCAAGATTTGTCAAGCATGGGGAAAACAAACGGAACAATAAAAATCTTCAGAAATTTTCACTTTGATTCATTTGCTCAAGCATGTTGCTAAATACCATCAACACACTTTGTTTATGCCAAAAAAAATGTAAGAAGATATGTTTTCAGTGAACTTTCAGCATTCGCTTTGTTTGAGAAACCATGAAAATGTACAGTTACAACATTTTCATTTGATTTAGTCGCGTTTTTAGTTTTGCATCAGATACAGTGTGACTTTTCAGCTTTCCTTGTGCATGAAATCACCCGCCTGCCAACAAACCAATGAGACCATGCAACAATAATGACGATTCATAGCAAAAGAGTACAGACGCCAATGTCAAAGGCCTCTGTAACTGGCACAGATTTGCAGAAAATCGCCAGTTACATGCATATTTCCAACATTTTATTATGTAAGCCTTATGTTACACCTCAAATGCCAAGGGAATTTATAATTATAATTCTCAAAAATCTCAATCTCTCAAATGGCTTGGGTATGCAGAGCATTCACAGCTTATATGGACTGCTTGGCAAACGTTATGCATTAAAAAATGCAAAAAATGCAACGTTAAACTAAGGAACTGTATAATTGTTTATTGTGCTTAGAATTATTCTTAGAATGTAGAGAGAGAGACTTACAGGCCTGAAGGATCTGAAGACTTTGTCCAGTACCTCCAGCAGTGTTTTCTTCCCGCAGGAGGAGATGTAGTCCTGCGCGAGCTGCAGGAATGGTAGACAGTCCTCGCTCTCACTCCACACATGCTGAAAACACACAAATACATCATTTCACCAGCAGCTTCACAGAAAACTAAACATTTAGCTCAAGATCTGCATTTATAGTTGATGATGATGTTTAAATTCATCTTTATGATTTAGCATTTTAGGTATTTATTTAAGATTTAGTTTTAGATTTAATTGTGTGTGCGTATAAATATTTATTCAGCCATATTTCAACCAAATTTCAATACTGCTCTATTTTTTCCCAAATAAATCTGGTAGGGTGTTTTGTCTTTTTTTTTCATAAATACACTTTACATTGAAGCTCAAACATACCGCAAACACCACAGTCATGGGTTCGATTCCCAGCGAGTGCATGAACTGATAAAAATCTATATTAAATGCAATTTAAGTCACTTTGTATAAAAGCGCCTGCCAAATGTATAAATGTACAGTACATTTTATATTTGTGCTTCATGGAGTTGCAAAGCACAGTAAACAGTGTTTTGCATGTTCATGAAAACCTTTACACATTTAGTAAGCATTTGCAATAGGACGAATTTGTTTGTCAGATGGAAACTAAAAATATGAATGTTGTAAAAATATTTTAACTCAAACTCCCTGATATTTTTACTTCTGGATTTATAAAATGGGTCCATATATGGTTAAAAGGAATTCTCTGAAGTCAAAGTTGAGCTTCCAGCAGAGAATCTGGGACACTAAAACTCTTTGTCCCGTTATATTTATCCGAGCGAGAGGGACCATTTTTCAGTAGATGGCCCAAATAATCTTCTCCTGCCAAACTGCATTTGAGAAAAATGTTTAATGAGGGAATAAAATAGAATACAATAGAAGAGAGAATTCTAATAAAAATAAGCTTACACAATTCCAGTGTATGTAACACCTTATGGTTTTATTAAATAGAAGAAAACAGCTAATGCAGCTAAATGCACAAGCAAACTTGAACTAAAATTCAGTAAATACACAGATGTAAAATGCAAAAGTCTGCAGAATTCTAATGCTCAACAATTGGTAAAAGGTTATTAATATTGATATGTCCCAGCCCAACTTCCTGTTTCAGCAGGGAACATCAACACGTGGTGAATGAATTCTACACATTCTGTCTTTCTCCAGAGATCTCCGCTCAAGCTGTGTTGTGAGCAAATGCCCTGAAGAGAAAACTTTCTTTTACTGATTATTTATGCATCTGTCCAGGAGGAAAAAACACCACAGGCCAAATCAGAGGAGCTCAACAAAATTCAGTTCAGTTGTAGTTAGTTGTGAGTAGTTGTGCTAAAGCATCATTCTTATAATCTGTTAAGATTTAATTTCATTTTATTTTAAAGTCAACATTAGTGGCCATTCACAACCCCTTATACTTATAATCCAACAAATTTCCAGGTGAACAGAATATTCAATAAGAATTAAATGAAATTGATTGTGAAAAGCGGGTTGACAAAGATTGAATGCAAGCTTGCTAAAATATGCCTAATCATTTTTTTTTTTGATCCACTGTAGTTTTTATCTATTAATAAAGAAAAATCTCTCTCTCTCTCTGTGTGATCCTACTGAACGGTGTATTGATCGGTGTGAGTAATTAGATCCCTGTTCTGCCGGTGCATGTGCTGATATTTTTGTGAGCTCTGGGACTCTGGTGCAGCGGTCTGATGCGGTCTGGTCATGTGGTGTGATTTGAGGGAACTACAGTAAACTCTCGTGGTTCATTTCAAACCTTTAAACCGATTCCTGAATGGAAAGCAAACATGCATCTAACAGACATGCGCAAGAGGAGCATCAATGCAAATGCTGCATTTGTTTTTACTACATCACAGCACAAAAAAACAGAATATCTGCACTATTTATTCCTCTGAGACAGTGTCTAGTGAACAGTGTGCATAAGAACTTTGTGCTGATAAAACACCTGCATTAATGACCCGTGCCTGTCTGACCAGGCCATATGCATCAGTCTAAACCCTGGATATTAAACTTCTAAAAGTTGAATTAAAGTAAAAAAAAAAAAAAAAACAGCTAAGCATGTATGGAGTACTGCAGTCAAAAACCAGTGACATCATTTCATCTGTTTTGAGATAAAGGCCTCACAACATGTGCAAGAATAAAACGTTTTTCAGCAATAGCAGTATTCAATATATATCATACTGAATGATTACCATCTTCATATTTCTGTAATACTCCAATTAACATCAATGTACACCATCCCGTCAAAAAAAATCTAATATATTTTACATATAAGCGTACAAAAATGGCCAAAAATTAAAGTTGCTATATGTTTCAAAATTTATTTTACATATAAAATATATTTATTTTTATATATTTTTTGTTATATTTTCTACCAATATATATTTTTGTACATTTTGTATATTTTCTACCAATATATATTTTTGTATATAATTTTTCATTTAGATTTTATTTTAAAATATAAATATATTTTTAAAAGCATTTAAAAACATACATTTTGCCCTCCATATATTTCAGTCCAAGAAAATACATTCACGTGTCACATTTGAAGAACAATATTACAATTTTCACACTATTTTCTTGCCCCTGAAATACATTTTGAAATATATTTCGGTATATGATGGTTGAAACTGAATATATTTTCAATTTCAAAAAATATATTTTATTGAGCTCCACAGTTTACAACATCCATGTAGCATATATTTAAAATATATTCTGGCCAGAAAACATACTTACCATATTTATTTACCATAGTACTTTCTGTAATTGAGAAAAGAGAGTATTTCGAACACAACAGCATTCACTCACGCCAACCCCACCCCCCGAGGATCTTACTAGATTATGTCATACTTACAAAATTGTCGGTTCCTCCGGTGAGATTGTCCGGGCAGAGCACGTAGAACGAGATCCCGGGCTCGGCGTAGAAGTCCAGTCGCCTCTCGTCCACATCCTCGGCGAAGATCAGGTCGAACGGGTTCCCGGAGCACCATTTCTCGGCGGTGTCCACCAGCTCTTTGAACTCCATGCTGCCTGCCTGAAGGATGGACGGACGGCGCACCTGAGCCGCGGATGATGCTGATGATGCGGATGCTGAGCACTAAGGCTGCGTCGTCATGGTGATCGCAGACGATTCTGGTTCTGTTGCGCTCTCACTGTCTCATATCGGCCTGTATTGGAGTCTTCCTGAAATGGACCAGCAGGGCCGGACCCGGTTCAGCCCTCTTGTCTTGTGCGGAGAGCAACGCCTGTCCTTCGGCAGGATGACGTCACATGACAACACACGCGCCCATCGTCATCATCTTCATAAGGAACCATCTCTAAAGAGACAGCCTTTCTCCCAACTGTTTACACTTCATACCTACTGAATATTTTAATATATTTATAATCATAATAAATGTCATATCATGTCATATCATATATTCATTCAAGTATATGCTGGACATGTGCTTTGTTGGCTTCTGCCTTCAACTTTATTCCAAGTCACCAATTAAAGAATATTCTATTCTATTTTCTTCTAAGAAGATTACATTACATTTTGTGGGATTATATTTAAAACACACGGAAAACACCCAAAAGAGTCTTGAAATTGAACAGTCTACTGTAGAACTTATTTTCCACAAGATTGAAAAGATTTCAGTTGTTTATCTATTCTTCTCCACTAGAGGGCGCCATTAGTCCAGTGTTTGGTGTGTTTGACCTCTGACCAAAGCAGGTTTAGGGTCAGTATTCATTTGGAAACTGATAAACCTGTGATTAAACACTGTCCTTCATCTATTTATTTATCTGATCTCTAGACGCTATATCTTTTATTATTTTAATATACTACATTTTTAGGACTAAAAATAGTATATGAACTGTAAACAGGCTCCTGAAAAGCAGAGAGGGTTAATAATAATTGAACTTTATCTGAGCATCAGGTAGCCGTGTCTGTGTTTATGTTTGACACAGAGTTTTTTGTTTTGACAGCAAATAAGATCACACTGGATTGAACCAGGAAAGTTTTCGCAAACTGATTGAAAAGACAACAGCAAAGACATTTTTTCTGAATCACATTCAACTATCACTATATCACTAACACACACAGAATGTTTATTGGGATTTCATAGTTTTAAAGTTTAGTGCCTTCAGTGTCTTCATTATTTTTAACGTATCTAACAGGGTTGAAAAAAAACAAAAAACAAAAAGTACATTAGTATTTTTAAAAATGTTACTTTTGAAAAGCTGAAATAAGATAAAATACAAATATTTGATGAAACATTTATTGATATAGGATTATTATTCTAAAATATTTAATAGATGTTACCTTGGCAATTAATTTAAATACAATAAATCGAAGTACTAAAATTACTAAAACTGAACCTGAAATAAAAATAACACTAAATAGTATGTGTGTGTAATAGTAAAAAATGCCTAATACACAATCCAGTGTAATAATAAACATATGCTATTTACGTACCTCACTGTATAATATACTTTCCTTGCAACTTATGTTGTATGTACAGTCATTTGCATTGAGCTGGTCTCTGCCCTCCTACCTCATAACTTGCACTGTATGTCATAAAGCTTAATGTATATACACATAATCTATATTTATTTATATACTCTGTTATTTGCACTTCTGGTTAGATGCTAACTGCATTTCATTGGCTCTGTACTTGTACTCTGCACAGTGACAATAAAGTTGAATCTAATCTAATCTAAATTAAAACTAAAATTAAAATGAAAACTGAAATACCTCATTCAAAACATGAATAAATACTGTGTTATAGTATAGAAATAACACTAAAATAACAGCGCTGCAGTGTGTGAGTGTGTGCATGTGATCTGCAGTGACCCTCATTCAGGACAGCGAGTGTTTTTACCGGAGGGGGCGGGCAAGATCTCAGCCGCTTCTCATTCTCGTGTCTGCCGGTGTTTTGTGTGTGTGTGTTTGTGTCTCGGCAGATTTAGTATCTTTTGGATATGAGGAAAGATTGTGTGCTTTTCTTTTAATCGCGTTTTCTGGATGCACTGATGGTTTGACCGCAGATGAGCGGCTCCGCACGGATCATCTGAGCCCGTTATCCCGGACAGAGACCCGCTTTGTTCGGCCAGTAATAAACGAATCACGTCTGCTATCGAAATGAACGACACGGAGAAAGATAACAAATCCGGTGAAGACTCGGAAGCTCTGGAGGAAGAGGAGGTTGACCCGAGGATTCAGGTACAGAGCAACAAAATCCCGAATTCACATCGACAACCCATTTAAACCGGATTAGAACTAAACCCGATTGAACGCTTATATGGTATTACTGTTACTTATGTTAAATTGCTCCGATTTTCTCAGTCCTGTTTAACATTTCCAAAATCAGAACTGAAGTTAGACCGGGCCATCACACTCTGATTGGATTCAAGCATTAATAATCCGATCAGATAATAGCTTATTCTGTTTGTTCAAAGAGTTCAGCAGCTGCTGTTTGATCTGATAGGGGGAACCCCATTGTTACATCAGCTGCTATATTCTGTTACATTGTTTCATAGTTTGTTACACTGAGGAACCGCGTTGACAATCATGTTTACTTTGATGTCATATTTAGAACTAATTTTCCTCTGTAATTTGCGTATCAATACCACGAGTTTTCGTTTTCATTTGGCGTACTATTTATACGCACTTTCATGAGATCGGGTTGGTAAAGGAAACAGTTGAGCTCACGTGCAGCACATGCAGAATTAAGTCTGCTTTATGAGGTGTAAGAATAATAGGCCTAAGATTCTTTTTATTCACTAAAACGTCCTAAAAATATAAAAAGTAGGTACATTGGTACACACACTCACACACACACACACACACACACACGCACACACACACACGCACACACACACACACACACATATATATATATATATATTATATATATGAAGAGTTCAGATGCAAAAGCCTCTAAGTGCTATATGAAATTTCCTCCTGAAATTAATATTTTTATCAGGCTCCTATTAGGTTCAGTAATTTTACTTAAATGTCAATGTATAGGTCCTTTTGACATTATAGTGTAATAACTGAACATAAATATATAGGAGCCTGATAAAAATGCTTATTTTAGATTAAAATTTCAGAAGAAATTTAGAGGCTTTTGCATCTGTGGGCTGAAGTGGAGCACGTGGTTAGATTAAAGTTCCTTGGTGTCCATCTCTCGGAGGATCTTCCCTCAATAGCTCCATACTGATCAAAAAGGCACAACAGCATTAGCATGTGTGTGTGTGTGTGTGTGTGTGTGTGTGTGTGCATACACACACACATGCACTAAAATCACTTAAATGCACTAAAAGTCACTTTCTAATGCAATGGCATGTAGACATTTTCAAGAATGACTTCAGTGCCCAGATACTACTTATTTTTGAACACTGTATCTATTATTTTATCATTTGTCTTTTTGCAACATGTTTTGCTTCAAATGTCCACTTGTAGTACTTTCCTTAAAAGAAGTGAAACTTTTAATGCATTTTAAAGGGTTAGTTCACCCAAAAATGAAAATTACCCCATGATTTACTTACCCTCAAGCCATCCTAGATGTATGACTTTCTTCTTTCAGACGAATACAATTGGAGTTATATTAAAAAACATCCTGGCTCTTCCAAGCTTTATAACGGGAGTGGATGGTAGCCCAAAATTTGAAGTCCAAAAAAATTGAACCAATCCATTATAAAAGAAATCCACACGGCTCCGGGGGGTTAATAAAGGCATCCCAAAGCGAAGCGATTGTTGTGTAAGAAAAATATCCATATTTACAACTTTATAAACCTTAATCTCTAACTTCCACTAACTGTCGTATGCGCGTTCACAAGAGAGTGGCGTCCAGCGGATGAAAACTCCGTAAACTCCGGCGAGAATAATGCTAGTCTCGCGAGAAACAGGTTTTGCTTACAGCAAAGGAAAACCAGTCTCCTCTTGGCTTATATTGAAATCCTCCGACATTTTTCTTTATAAATCCTCGTTTTGTACTACTAATTCGTGACCGGTGTTTTGTTTTGCTCTCTCCTCTGCACTTCCACGTTCGTCACCGTGTTTGCTTACGTGCTACGTCATCTGCTGGACGCCACTCTCTCGTGAACGCGCGTAACGAC